TACTATCCCAGAAATAAAGGGACGCAAACAGCAAAGGATGGCTATAGGTGAATCCAGGTTTCGATAGCTTAATGAGGTTATAAATGCCTAGTTCTTCCCATTGCTGGGATTTTTTGGCTTCTACTTTCGCGAACCAATTTTGATAGGCAATATCAGAAGTAGGGCAAGATCTAAATGGTTTAAAATTGCTTTTTACATAATCCAAAACAAATGGGTCCTTGGGAGGAACAATTGGGGTTTCTGCGGTATTCGAACTGAGGGATTCTACTACCCTAGGGGTATCCATTTTGTTGAATAAAGGTTTGAAGCTATAACATACGGGAAAAATTGTCCTGGTGTCCTTTAGTATTTCAAAAACTGTAAGAGGACCATTTAAGGCTAACCTCTTACCAGCAACATGGGTAGGGATGAGTACATGTGATGCGTACAGCATTTCTTTTTCTTTGGAAATCATTTGAGGAGCAAGAGCAGATTGGCCTTGAATGGTGACGATTTTACTCTCCATGGTTGCTCCTGTAGTTTTTCCTTTCTTCTTTGAGACTTTCTTGAGTTGGGAAGAGGTGGAAGAAGACATTTTTGTTGTTTGAGAGCTTAGATTGTTTATGAGAGAAGAAGAGTGAAAATTCAGAGTATGAAAGACTTAGAGTGTAAAAAAGGAAAAGGAAGAGTAAATTGACGTTTTATAATGAGAAGATTAAACATCCACCGAGTAAAAGTGTGATACGTGGAGATCATGGGTTGGTGTGATGAAGAGGTGGCGAGAAATTGATATAGGTAATAGGCGTGATTTAAAAACAATCATTACTTATAACTGCACCACGCTGTGAAGTGACTCTGGGCGGTTAAGGAACCCAAAAGGTGCTATGATTGATGTGACTGGAGTCAAAGGCATTAAATGTTATGATGATTCGAAAATCCTATCAAAATCTTGGATAAATGTTTAAAATAGGTATTTCTCAAAGAGATCGAAATACATATTTTAAAGGGGCAATTTGTTGGCTGAAGATTTTGATAATGTTATTTAGAATTTAAAATTGGTTAAGAGTTCTGATCGAAATGGAATTAAACACCATATTTCGAAGTTGCAGAAGCAGTGTTTCGAATGAGTGTGTCAAAGCTTGAAGCTTCGAACGGTGATTATGGGAACATATCCAAAAGGGTCTCGAAACAACAGCGAGGCTAGGTTTGGGAAGAGCGTTCGAAACGGAGAAACACCAAAGCATTTAAAATTTAAATGGAAGCGGGACTTTCAAAGTTTGAAAGTTATGTGTTGGAGCATTTGGGGACACGTGGAAAGATGAAAGAAGCATTGTCTTGCATGTTCGAAACGTGGCATGATCCTATAGCGAGACCGTTAGGGTCGAATTAGTATAAATAGAAGTCTTAGTATTAGGATTTCAGTGTGTGTCATATCTGTTATACAAAATACTCAATAACATTCAAACTACCACATGGCAAGGGAAACGAATGCAAGAGAGATGTATGTATGATAGCACCATGTATTTCTAACTTAATGAAAGCCTTTTTACCATTTCCAGTACTTTCCTCTTTTCTTTTTATCGAATAACATTTACAAGTTTCTTTATTTACTGTCTTTTCATTTCAAAGTCTTTTCCTCAAAGTTTTACGTTTTATTGCTTTCTTTATATTTCGAGCACTTTATATTTCAGAGAACTGTTACGCTTTCAATACCTTTACTTCCAAGTATTATTTTTCAAACGCATCCTTTTATTTAAAATCATTTATAGATTTCTTGCATTAAACGCTTTCTTCACATTTTTAACTTCTACATTCCAGAAATCTTTTATGTTAAATGCTTTGCAAATCGAAACCATTTACTTCATTTTTCATGCAGTTTTATATGTCTCTTCAATCAGCATTACAATTAGCATTTATTCGTATAACTTAGTTTTCATGTACAATTTGACCACGTTTTTAAACTCTTAGAGAGAAGGATCGAAATAAACCAAACACTTGTACAATAGCAACCATGAATAATTGTTCGATTGTGAGAGTAACTTTAATATCCAAGGAGTCCTAGGATCAATCTAGTCGATCCTGTGAGTTACCAGAGAGATTGAGTAGCGTTAATAAAGATTATTCGATAGTTTGGAAGACTAGCGGTTGTTTACCAGAAATCACTGGAAACAGTTATTTAAATGAATTTTTCATTATAATTATCTAACTATTTATTTTAATGTCATACAACATTGCAGGAAAAATGTGTGTGGGACGCATTGAACGAGAACCTGATTAAAAAAAATTATTATTGTAGAACCTCAAGACAATTTTTTGACATAATGTGGCGTGTTAGAGAGTATTGGAAACTTCAGGGTATCCGTCCTAATTGGATAGGAAAAGAGGTTTTTGAGAAATTTCTTAAATATTGGGAGTCACCAGAATTTCAGGTTAAATCTGAAAAATTGTAAGAAGATGAGGGCATCTGAAAAAGAGATTGCATTAATACAGTTGGAAGTATAAGTACCGCAGAGCATGTTCGTCGCATGATAAATATTACCACTTTTTAAAGTTATATTTTTATTCATAATATATTTTATTAATTAAAGTTAATTTTATTATTTAGACTAAGGCTTTGGGGAGACCACCACTGATGATTGAGCTGGTTAAAAAGACTCGGACAAAGAAAACAAGGGATTTTGTTGACGAACATACACTAAAAGCTTTCGTAAGTTATATAATTTACGTTGTTTATATATTTTCTAATTTAATGACAATTTTGTGTCGTGATTTTCACTTGGAAACTAAGAAGTTGTGGTGTGAAAATCATGTGGAAATTGAGAAGTTGTGGCGTGAAAATCATGTGGCAACTTTTTAAATTAAATTTAACTTAATTTAATTTAATTTATATTTAACTTAATTTTTTTTATTGAATATGTAAGAGGATTATCAGAGATTACTCACAAATTTTCTGATTCATAATCCTGAATATACTCTGAGAGAGGGAGGGTCGTTTCATCCAGATGTGGGTTTTTATATTTGGGATAAGTCATTGGCGGAAAAGGTTCTAACGATTGTTTTTTTGGTGGTGAAAATTTGGCGGACATCTTGAGAAGTGAGGATATAACTCTATTTCAAAGAGTTAGAGATGGGAAAAGAGGGTCACGTCAACCAAATTTGACACCAGAACAACTTGAAACAGTAAGACAATTGGCGTTAAATGAGGCGAGACACGAGTCAGCGCAACGTGACACGACAATGAAGATCCAAATAGAGGTCCAAATGGATGCAATGAGGCAAAAACAACAACGACAAATGGAGGTCATGACGAAGAGGCAATCTGATATAGAGCAGCAAATTAGACAATTATGCAAGAGTTTGGTGGAAATCAAAACGTTCGTGGTCAAGAGCCGGATGATGATGAAAATGAAGATAATTTTGACATTGACAACTATACCAACTAAGATGAACCGTTGAATTAATTTTTTTTATTTTACTTTCAAATTTGAATTTGTGTAACATCCTAATTATTAAACCTATTTAATATATTAAATTAAGAAATCTTAAATTTATAATTTTAATTTATTAATTTTATTATATTAATTTTATTATATTAATTTTATTTAGTTTATTAATTTATATTATATTTATTAATTAATTTTATTAATTTAATTATTATAAAAGAAAAATAAATTTCAATAATTAAATTTTAAAAAATATTAGTGACGTGATTTCCATGTCTCAAAGTTGTGACATGTAAATCACGTCGTAACTTAATTTTTTTTATAAAAAATAAAAGCAGAATAAAACGTTTTATTTTTAAATATAATTAACTAGTAACGCGATTTTCATGTCACAAATTAATGGCGTGAAAATCACTTGACAAATAAAGTATTGTTCTGACTCCTGCGCGTGTTACGCCTACTCCCACTGTAATATTCAGATTTCTATTCTAGCGAGTTGCAACGTAATTTTCATGTCATAACTTTGTGATATGAAAATCACGTCGTAATAAATTTATCACCGCTCCTCAACCACGTGATTGTTCACATCGTAAATTAATAATTATGACATAATTTTTTACATTATAACGTAAATTTCACGTCACAACTGAATTTTTTTTTTTAATAATCCTAATTAACTTGAGCTTGAATTACATTAACTTGAATTATCTCACAGCATTAAAAAGACTATAAAGAATTTTCTAAAAGATTACTAGAGTTGGCCATGATTCTATAAAATGTATTCTGTAACAGATTTGGGTATAGTAACTAGTTTGTATATTAACTAACATAAAAATAATTGTATGCTTCTCTTTCTTTCTGTTTACTTTTTCTGCATATTTCAATAAATTTAATTTTACTGTTTTTATCAATATCAAAAATGTGTCTTCACTTATTATATATTTATTTTGATAGAATGTTTTCGGAATCTTTAACATCATATCTGATATTATATATTAATCGTATGTTAATTTTTCTATCTCTTATATTTTCATTTTATACACTTATATAAATTTCAATAATATATTATTATAATTAAAATTATATTACACACTTTTTGACATTTAAATTTAGTATCAGAATATCATTTATCTTATTTAAATAAAATGTTTAGTATATCTGCATTATTTCTTATATATAGAATTGTTTAGAGCACTACTAACTTAGTCTTCAATTTATATTTAGTATTTTTCAGATGAGAATAAGCTACTAGCTTGTGTGTCAACATGCCACAATCACTATCTTCAATATCGAACACTTGAGCAATGACAAATATAGGAATAAGATAAGATTAAAAAAAAATATTGGAAATGTAAAAAAACCACTTAAAGTTGTACCAAAAAAAAAAACCCACTGAAAGTAGGTTGCAGCCCCTGGTTTTATTTACCTACTAACCTTGCAATCTCAAGCTTCATATATATAACAACCTCCTTCACTCTTCTTGCTCCACCAACCAAAACACAAGACAAGCAATCTATTTTCTCAGCCACCTAAATAGCTACAAAATCACTTAGGTTTCAAGAATTAATATCACTCAACATGAGTTCAACCAGCAGAGCGTGGGCAGCTGCAGCAAGTGTAGCAGTTGTGGAAGCTTTGAAGGATCAAGGGATATGTAGATGGAATCATACTCTAAAATCACTTCAAAATCATATCAAAAACAATGTTAGATCGTATTCTCAAGTAAAGAAGCTTTCATCCTCAACTTCTTCTTCTTCTGCTATGGTTTCCACCAAGAGACAAAAAGAGAGAGCAAAGCAATCCGAGGAATCTTTGAGAACAGTCATGTACTTGAGTTGTTGGGGTCCTAATTAATTAGAGGAGATTTTATTCTTTCATTTTTCTTCATGTATTGTGCAACCTTGAAAAAAATCGATGTAAATTATATTGAACTAATCAAGGTGGCAAGCAACACTGAATTTCTCTACATATTCTGAATCATTCTAACTATGTTTCCTATTATACCCCCTTCTTCTTCTTCTTCTTTTATGTTGAATCAGTTGTTTTCTTATAATCAAAATTGTACTAAGATAAAGAGAATAAAGGGTACTCAAACTTAAACCTATAACAAAATCTCAAGTATTGCATTATAGATAAACACTCCAGACCAATATAAGGTATTAGAATGAAGATAAGCACACATTAGTTTGCAAGACATTTTTTTGGAGAATCTTAAAAACATTTTCCAGTGAAAAACTACGTGTTCTTGATAGTAAGAATTGAGATAGATAGAGCAAGCAAATGAGGGGATCATTTTGTTGGGTTTGGACTCCTTTCTTATGTGGAGAAAGACTCAAATATAAATAGTTTATTTGTCTGATTTATATAACTCGAGAATGTCAACTTAAAGTTAAGAGAGTTAGAAAAAAATAAGGATTCAAAAAGAGAGAAAAGAGAAGAGAAATTCATTCTCATTTTTCTACAGCAGTCTTACTAAAACGATGATCCTTGATTCATTCATCGTCGGATCGAGTTAAAGTTTTGTGGGCTTGTTCGCAACACATATATCTAACTTTCGACCGTTGGGATCTTCAAAATAAGGTTTGAGTTGAGAGATATCGGCTTCGCACTGAACCTGCAAATTTAAGAAAATTTTCAACTTTTTTATTCTTATTTGTAAGTTAATTTGTTTTGTGATATGCGGTTGTTATCACTATTTTGTGAATCACTTTATGACTCTCTTGTAACCTCAATTGATTATAGTGGAGCTATTTTCTTTGGTCTGAAAGACTCAAAGTTTTTACTCTCATATTTAGAGGTTTTCACGTTAAAAATATCGGTGTTATTTTGTGTCTTTATTGTTCGATTTTCGTCTTATATTTGTTGTTGATCCTCAAGGTTCCTACAAGTTTGGGAAATATTATATCCGCTGCATATTGTTCTGTTATTTTGTCTTAATTTTCCACCAGTGTGACATCATAGCTCTTGGTTCATGATTATTTTACTTGTTCGAATGATGGAGACAAATACAAAGATGAAGATGATATTGTTGAATGGTTCTAATTACAATTATAGAAGACCAAGATGAAAGACTTACTATTTATGAAGAAATTGTATTTACCGGTTTTTAGTTCAGTAAAGTCGAATTTTGTATCTGATGAAGAATGGGAGTTGGAACATTAACATGTATGTAGTTTTATTCGACAATATGTAGAAGATAATGTTTATAATCATATTGCTAATGAGGCACATGCAAAAACTCTGTGGGAGAAGATGTAGTCCTTGTATGCCTCTAAATCAGGGAATAATAAATTGTTTTTGTTGAATAACTTCATAAGTTTGAAGTATAAGGAGGGGGCTTCTATTTCAGATCACTTGAGTGAATTTCAAGGTCTCCTTGATCAAATATCATAAATGAGTATCAAATTTGATGATGAACTTTTGAGACTATTTCTATTGATATTTTTACCAGAGTCTTGGGAGACGTTTCAGGTTTATATTACAAATTTTACTCCTAAAGATGTTGTTTATTTACAAACGGCTAAGGGTGGTATTCTTAATGAGGAGATGAGAAGGAAGGCACGGGGTTCTTCATCTCAATTTGAGGTACTTATCACTGAAAATAGAGCGAGAAGTCATAAAAAGAAACCGAAGGATGGTAGAGAGAATAGCATAAACAAGTCCAAACCACAATACAAGAATCTGGAGTATAATTATTGTCACAAAACATGACACATAAAAAGTATTGTTATCAGTGGAAAAAGGGATAACAAAAGCAAGAAAAGTAAGTCTAAACAAATAGATCATGATGATGATTGTGTTACTACTACTACTACTTGTAATGATCTTGTTATTCTACGTGATCATGAGTCTATTAATCTCGTATCAGACGAGAACATGTGGATAGTTGATAGTGGTGTTACATTGTATGATACACCAAGAAAGGATTTCTTCGCATATTATATTTCTGGTGATTTGGAGTGTTAAAGATGGGTAATTATGGTGTATATAAGGTTATTAGTGTTGGTGATGTTTTCTTGTGAACCAACATGGGAATGCAATTGTTGCTTATAGGTGTCAAACATGCTTTAGATGTCCGCTTTAATTTGATCCTTGTGCATATGCTTGATGATTACGTTTATGACAATCACTTTGGTTTTGGAAAGTGGAAACTCAAAAAAGATAATTTTGTTGTGGATAGAGGGGAAAATATTTTTAAATTGTATTGGACAAAAGCTTTGGTTTCTAGGGACAGTGTGAATGCTATCAACATGGAAGCATATTTGTGGCACCAAAGGCTTAGTCATATTAGTGAAAATGGGCTGAATGTTTTAGCCAAAAAAGGTGTCCTTCCTGGTTTAAAGAATGCATATTTGGAGAAGTGTTCTCATTGCATGGCTAGTAAGCAGACTAAAGTATCTTCAAGAGACACCCTCCCTCAAGAAAGTTAAAGTTACTTCAATTAGTACATTCTGATGTTTATGGGTCATTAAAGATAAAATATTTTAGTGGTGCACTTTATTTTGTTACCTTTATTGATGATTGTTTCAGGAAAGTATGGGTTTATGCCTTGAAGACAAAAGACCAAGTGTTAGAGAAGTTCAAAGAATTCCATGCTTTGGTAGAGAGGCAGACAGGCGAGAAGCTTAAATATGTTCATTCTGATAATGGTGGGAAGTATTGTGGGCAATTTGATTCCTATTGCAAGCAACATGGTATTGCACATGAAAAGACTTCTCCTAAAACTCCTCAATTGAATGGTTTAACAAAGAGGATGAATCAAACACTAATTGAGAAAGTAAGGTGTATGCTCTCTGAAGCTAAGTTGCCAAATCATTATTGGACTGAGGCACTTTACACAGTGGTGCATGTTCTTAATCTTACTCCTATTGTTGCTTTGAACAGTGAAGTTCCAGACAAAATTTGGTTTGGAAAGAATGTCAAGTATGATTATTTGAGAGTTTTTTATTGTAAGATTTTTGTGCATATTCCAAAGGATAAAAGATCCAAGTTGGATGCAAAGTAAAAAAAATGTATATTCATCGGCTATGGACAAGATGAGTTTGGTTACAGGTTGTATGATCCTGTAAGGAAGAAGCTTATCTGAATTCGCAATGTAGTATTCATGGAAGACCAAAATATTAAAGACATTTATAAGACAGAGAAGACTACACCCAAGAAAGATATTAGTTTGTCTAATATTGATCCAGTTCAGTTACCTAATCATAATCTAGATTCTATTGGTGGTGATGATCATAATGGGGATCCATATGATTATGTTGATGATCAACAACTTGAAGATGAGGTAAATATTCCAACTAATGATGATGATGAAAGGAAAAATGATATAACACATGATGAGAATCTTGGTGAAGCTCCAGAATTATCTCAAGTTCAACTTAGGAGGTCTAACAGGAAGAGAAAATATTCTACAAGGTATAATTCTGATGAGTATGTGACCTTGACTAATGAGGGTGAGCCTGAGTGTTTTCAAGAGACCATGGAAAGTGATGAAAATCAAAAGTGGTTGGATGAAATGCATGACGAGATGAAATCATTGTATGATAATCACACTTATGATTTTGTGAAGTTTCCTAAATTCAAAAGAGCTTTGGAAAACAGGTGGATTTATAGAGTTAAACATGAGAGCAACTCTAAGTCTCAAAGACATAAAGCTAGTTTAGTGGTGAAAGGTTTCCGTTAAAGAAAGGGTGTTGATTTTAGTGATATTTTCTCACTTGTTATAAAGATGTAACAAATCATAACCGTGTTGAGTTTAGTTGCTACTCTTGATTTATAAGTTGAACAAATGGATGTTGTTGTACCCCAAAATTTTCCCTCTCATATTTCCCAAGACATTGCAAGAATAATCTCCAAGTGGCTCAAGATTGCTCAAGAGTTGGACAGTCAAGCTATCTCCTAAGGCAGTCAATCTCAAATTAGGGTTTTGTGTTGCATCAAGGTCCTTGCATCCAAATGACCTCAAGTGCTCCCCAATGTCCTAATATGTTCTCAAGTCCATCCATGTCAAATTTCAAGCCTTGCAGAGGAAGTTTGGTCAATCAATTGCTCAAGAGGTCCAAAAATCAACTGTGCTAGGGAAAAAGTCATTTGTGACCTATAAACAGTCAAACTTTAAGATTTTTTTGTCAACATTCTAATTTTGAAGGATATTTCATCATTTGATCAAGGGTTGATCATGATTCATCAAGGATTGCTCAAAATTCATCTAGACTCAAAAGTTGCTAAATTAGGGTTTTGTAGGAAAAGTCAACTCAATTTTGACCAAGCATAACTTTCTCATACTTTATGATAAATGACCCATCCAAAGCTCATTTTGAATAGTATGAAATTTCCTACAATCCATCTTCATACCCCAAGATCAATAAATTCACTCACAAAAAGTTACAAATTTGGACATTATAGGTCATTTTTGAAAGTCAACAAAAACACCTTTTTTCCAAAGCTTATAACATGAGCATGGAATATCAAAATGATATGAGACCAAAAGGGTTGGTTAGAGGACATCTCAAGATTTCTAAAAAGTCCAAGAATACCTCCAAAAGTTAAAAATTGAAGAAGTTATGCATTGTTGAAGTTGGGCTTTTTTGCAAAATTGCCAAAAGTCAACTATCCCAAAAACTTCAAATTTTGCCAAATGGGCCCATTCTCTTCCACTTGATTTGATCTTGTCACACTACACACGTGTCCTAGCTTCATCCTTGTGTCCATTTATTTATTTTTCTATTTTATTTGATTTTTTATTGAATTAATTCATTTTAAATCAATTTAAATCAAATAAAATCCAAATATTGATTACTTAGGATCTTTTTGGTTGTTATAGGTCTTAATTAACATCATGATCAGCATCAAAT